ATCTGTTCATCTTTTCTCTTTGATTCCTAGAGTCTGCTGAAACCATTTTCTACTGTCCATGCTTATATCACAAATTCAGTCTTCAATGCAGAAATACAACCAGCAGGAACACCAGCGGATCCTTAGGAAATCAGCCTCATAAAAGAGTTTAAAAATACAAGCACACACAGTTTTATCTGAGTTACAGTTAACAAAGTTTATTTGACAACTTTGCTGGTGATAACAGGTGGAGTTCAAAGAGAAAACTCCACACGGTAAGCAAAAGTATTAAGCTGTCCAAATGTTCTCCTATACCAATTCCAAACTGCCTGTCATGTGCTCTAGAGAATAACAAAGAAAAGTCTGGCAGTGGTTCTACAAGTAGTTTAGAGCAATTTTTAAAACACCCTAAAAATAATGGACTCAATGACAATCCCAGCAACATAAATATTTGTTGAATTAAATGATACTGAAAGTTATAGACATTTGGAAAGGCATTTGAACTCATAAACAAAATTTCCAATCATTTTCCTATTTGCTGTTAGAGAAATCAGAGCCAAGGAGGACACTGCTGATGAACCAGTCACAAGTTAAAACTGACTCCTAAGGACCCCCATGGCATCTTATTTAACAAAGGAATAAAAAAACTTAGGTATGATGAGAAACCACTAAGGATCCCTAAAGAGCTCAGAATATATATTCTGACCCTCAGTGAGTCCTAGCTCCTGTGCACCCATCAATTTATTTGCCCTTAGAATGGGAACAGAAGCGGCAGTCATGAGTAATTGCTAATAAAAGCCTCCGTGCCTCTGGCAGAAACACAAATGCTTGTTGATAATGATCATTTTCCCAGACCCTGGTTTATGTTTCTCCATTAACATTCCAGTGACCAACTCTCAGGTTCCCAAGATCCTACGGATTTGGGTCTCTGACTAAGAGACCAAAGACGGAGCTGAGATTTGAAGTATCCCAAGTTGCCAACTCCGAGAAGTAGTAGCTGCCTCCCTAACCCCCAAACGCGTCATTCCCCACGTCTGCACCACATGCAATTCTTCACTGGGATGACGACACTCAATCTTTGTGATAAAAATGCACTCAAGGACACCACCCCTAAGAACTTGCTTCTCTTGGACCCACCAATGGATAAAATGTTCTCAATGCTGCTCCTAAGATAAACACCCTTCCCCAAATTCCCCCTTTAACTGGTTGGTTGACTGTGCCCTGGGTGTGACTGCGGGTTTATCCTGGGTGTGTAACCAAACTGGAAAAGTCTTACTGATTTTTGAGTACCCTGACAAGGAGGATGGTGACAGCAAGAGCAGACAGCAATGACGCTGACACACTGCAGAACGATGTCCTATGTGAGGAGACTGCCCTGTGGTCTCTGTGTCCCCGTCCAGCTCTAAGTCCACCATCAGCTCTGTAGTACTGACCACTGACAGTCAGACAGAGGTGACAGGGCCAGCAGAACCCCTCTGCCAAAGAAAGGGCAAGAAATTAGACACCAGGTCTTAGTGGAATAATTAAAAGTCCAGTACTGGTCACAGGTTGTAAAATACCCAACTATCTATGCTTACCTCTCCCCAAATGTGCATGTGTATTAAATGTAGATTAAGAATAAATAATAACAATAAATTGTAAATAATTAGTACCTTAGGTTCATTTATCAGTATCCTCTCATGAAATCCCTTAGGGTAAAATGCTACATCCTTCTTTTGGAGAAGCAAGTTATAAAAATTTTTTTCCTAAACACCCTTCAAATTTAGAAACTCCCCTGATTTCCAAAGGGCCGACTGAAAGGCGGAGACTTCAAAATGACACTCCCGGCTCTGCAAGCTCCTCCATCCTGAGAAGTCAGCTTTGCTCAAATGACTTTTTCACCTCACAACCAAAGGGAGAAAACAGTGAATGATGGTATTTAGGAGAGCCTAAAATGCACCCATTTTTGGACTTTTTGGTCACAGTCAACTTCTAAGGTTTATGAGAGATAGTTACTGATTTCCAAATGGCAAAACATTTCTACTCCGAAGGAGATAACTGCTAACAGATTTAAAAATAAGACTAACTTGTCATATTTCAAATTAACTCTAAACATAATCCACCCCTTTCCAATGGCCAGAATAACAAAACTTTTTTCAAACAGAGGCCTTCTTTGGGCTTGGTTTTTGAAATTTTATTTTAAATGTAGTAATAAACTTTCTTGTAGTTGGGCTTAGAAAGAAAGGATTCCCTTACTCATTGTCTCTTACGGCGATTTACATGATCTCCTGGGAAACGAAGAAATTCAGAAACATCTTTATAGATCTAAAATTACTGCATTTTAAATAAGAAAGACCTGTTAAAATAAACAAGTTTTGGATGGTGAGGATTTCATCAACATTAGGATGTCTAATAATAAATTACTGTCAGCTGATTATCTGCCTGATTGAAAATATTTCCATCTCTCAGTTTACTCTTCTGCCTGAGGAAATTCAGTATTATAAATTGACATTTGGATTGCTAAATATAAACAACACAGACCACTTCATCATATACAAGTTTTTAAAACGTTTCTTTCCACTCCAGTTTTGTGAACTTATGCACACTGGTCACTTTTTTTATTTTTTCAGCACATTTTATATCCTGTAGTTTTCATGTTTTTACCGGACACAGCTCACTTCTGTGAGTTACTTAAACTATAAATCATCCAACAAAAGGTTTAAAAAGTTCAGTAACTTTAACTTCAATTTATGCCTCTCATTTGAGTTGAACTTTTCATGCATTGCCTCTACCAAAGTGCTAAACATTTAGCTCTATCTAGCAAAAAAAAGAAAGAAAGAAAAAAGGAAAAGAAAAGAAAAAGAAATTATAGGTTCATTACAGAAGCCAGCGACTTATTTTTTTATTAATAAAAAAGATTATATTCATCCAATCTTTTTGATCCTGAACTTAAAAACAACAAAAAATGCTTTCAAAGTATGGTATTTGCAAAACCCCTGAGAAGTCACTAATGGGATTCCCATGATCTAATACGTGTAAGGCTTTAACTGTAATTGTAAACCCACTGAAGGCTTATGATCTGAAAGTATGGACTATTGTAGCCAGTTTTTATGGGTTTAATTCCACCAGCAAATCCTAGTTTCTATATTTTAATTCTCAACTAGAGCAAAACCACGACACGTTTGCAGAAGAACAGTCTGAGGAAACAAGAGGGAGAGAAAACCTTTGCCAACAACCACCCTTTTCCACAAGCCATCACGCTAAAAGCACAAGACCGCACACAACTTTAGTCCGTGATCTATGGCAATTCGCTTTTAACACTCGCAAAACTACATATGAATCATTTTATTTTCATCTGCTTTACTTCCCACACAAGGTTCAATAAACAGAACTTACTCAGCCTTGACTGGCTGGATGACTACTTTCTGAGGCTGTTCAATTACTCCTTTTCTGACATGTTTTCTACTATGATCCAATTTTGTGACTCCCATGAGCCAAAAAAAACTGCCTTCAAGTTAACAAGGGCACCAAGCACTAGACTATACCAAGGGTGCTTAGGAGAAGTTGTTCCGTTTTGTGCTAGGAGCTTCCCACATACAGTGCATATGACCGAGACAGACCCTCTCTTTTTCCCCATAGGGATTTGAGTTATCCTAGCAAACTCAAAACAAGATTTGGACTACCTCCCCTATTCCATGTATATGTGGACTATTAATCCAAGTGTCCACACACCGCCTACACAAAAATGTAAAAGTATCAACATGGAGATATCTAACTTGTTTCTAAAAATTATTTGTTCCTGATTTCATAGATTTCTTAGTTTTTAAAATTCGGTATTACAAGGTTATAGGATACCAGGCTTAATTCTACCTTACGGATAAATTAATTTTAAAAATAAATGACTGGGGCTGCGCCTGTGGCTCAAAGGAGTAGGGTGCCGGCCCCATATACTGGAGGTGGTGGGTTCAAACCCAGCTCCAGTCAAAAACTAAAAAAAAAAATTATAAAAATAAATAACTGAACATAGTTAACTTCATAACTAAACACAGGTAGGAACAATTCGATTTTAAAAGAACTTTGTCATTTGTGTATATATTTATTGGTTATAAATATATAGAGGCTATCAATGGAACAAAGAGAAAATGGACTTCCAAGCCTTGTGCACTAAGAACTTTTGGCCTGAATGTTCCAAAAATATCTTTCAAAACCACTGCTGGCTCTTCACTTCGTTATTGCAATGTTAAGTACAATTTCATTTATTTCATGCCACCCATGCAACAAACATAACCTCAAAGGTTCTTTTGGTTTGGAAAGCATTCCAAATCAAAAATTTGAAAGCACTGTCAGTAACTTTTCTTTTTGCTATAACCACCTTTCTGTAACTTAACTCCTATTAATGCCAAGACACCTGGAAATTTGGAGCTTCTCTCAACGCAAAGTATTTTTGACTTTTTCATAGATTAACTTCAGTAGTAAATAATATACTTATTAATTTCTCTTTATCTTTCCTATTGGTCAGCGATGTTTTTAGTGACTTAAAGTCAGCTTGTGCCACAAACACAACATGCTCCGGAAATATCTCCCAAAGGGAGATCGTTTTAAGCAAAGTTCAGTGAATTCAGGATTCTGATGAGAACCTCGGATACTGATTTACCTGTAAAATCCCCAGGGGAGACAGTGGGAGGTTGGGCAAGTTAACTCAAAGTGAGAAGCAAGGCCGCCAAGTTCAAGTTGAAACTCACACCACCACTTCCTGAAAGAGTGATTTAGGTGTTGAACCAGGTCAAGGGTTCGAACTTTCTGACAGAAAACCACAGCGGTGCCAGGAAGGAGGAAGCGCACGATCAGCCCACCCCGAGGCTGCCTTTACTTTGTTTCCAAGTGACCCGTACCCTGCCTGGCCCTTCAAAATGCCCATCGCTTGCAGAAGCGCAGGAAAGGAACCCCCTTAACTCCTTCCTCTCGCCCTGGAGTGGGAAAGCAAAGGCGACCCGCACTGGCCTGAGAGCCGCCGCACCTGCTACCCCAGCGGGGCGTCTTACCGGTGCAGGAATGCAGGGGCTTGGGCCGCACGACCAGTGACGGGCACACGGAGTAGAGGGAAAGTTTCTCAAAGTAGTCGCAGGTCTCCTTGGAGAGGATCTCGTCGATCATGAAGGTCTTGTAGCGCCGCCTGGCTGCTTTGAGCTGGCCGGGCGAGCTCAGCCTCAGCTCGGCGTGGCAGTGCATGGTGAGCCGGGGCGAGCGCCAGTCCGGCCGGGGCCGCGGAGGCTAGGGCGCCGACGGGGGCCCGAGCCCCGCTCCTCGGCAGCAGGGGACACGGCGGGGCTCCGGGGACTCGCGGAGCGGAGCGGGCACCGGGCGCGCCTGCTGCGCGTCTATACCCACCCGCGAATCAGCATCTTCGCCAAGCCCTTTTGGGACAGCGCAGCTGTCAATCAGCGCGTGCTTCCTGCAGGGCCGATGCAGCCCGCGGCCGGAGGGGCGTCGCGCCCACCCGCCCCGCCCGCGCGACCAGGACGCCGACCTGCGCGCCTCGCGCCCCGCGGCTCTCGCTCGCCGCCTCCCGCCGGTCGGTGTCTCGCGCTCCGCCCCCTGGCTCTCTATTTTAAGACACTCACTTTGGCTCTGCTCCCCGCCCCCCTCCTGGGACGAGCTCCAGGTGTATGAGCAGGAGAGTGCGCGCGAGTGTGCCCGCGGTGCGGGGAGCGCGCGCCACCCGCCGCCAGGACCTGGGCCGGCCGCTCCCAGTCCCCCGAGCGCACCTTAGCGCCTGCCCTGCCACTCGCGGGCTGGGCTCCCCAACCCCTGCAATCCAGCAAGAGGGCACTTCCAGAAAGGAGGGCACTTATTAGAAATAAGTTTAGTCCTCCCCGAGGCCCGCTTTGGTTGCGGGCCACAGAGCGGGCGGCTCCCGAGAACCGCTGTGCCTTTCTCCTTCCCCGAATGGACCGTTTCCAGAGACCGTGGCCTCCGCTCGCAGCCCCGCATCTCGGGACAGGCCGGCGCTCTCTGAGTGCGGGGCATTTGCGCCGACATTGCAAATTTGATTGCCTCTCCAAGATCCCGAACGATAAGTGACCCGGGACCAGTCCGTTACACCAATAAAAAACTGCAAAAATGGTAACTAATACGCCTGTAGCTTGCCGGCGTTTTCATGTTTAAACTCCGTTTATAAAAACGATTTTCCTTCCCGGAAGGGGCCATCGCAGCTCGACCTCAGGGTGCGGGGAGCCCGGGGTGGCAGACCCCATACGCGCCCGATCCTGCCGCGGAAGCGGCTTTGGTTCCCCCGACCCTCGTGGCTCGGTGGGGTTCGGGGAGCCGCACAGACTCGTGTTTATTTGGTGCTTTGTCTTTTTCTTCCTGAGCGCCTAGCCCCAACTCTGTTTTAATCAAAATCTATACGAACTTTTCTTTGTAAATGGAAGTGGTGGGTGACAGGGACACCCCAGCAATGGGACCGCTCCACTGCCGGCGCCCAGCTGGAGTTCGGCCGAACAGCTCGGGGCGCGCTAGTTTCCACGATTTTTTCTCGCAATCGGTGTGCAGGGAGTTGAAAGGAAAATGCACCGTAGGAACTCTGAGCATCACAGTCTCGGGCGGCCTTCGCCAGCGCAGACTGTCGGGTTGTGACATTTCCTCGCTGCTCTCCGCCGGGAAGCAGCGCGAGTCTCCGCCGGGCTCCGAGGAGCCACTTGCCCGGAGGACCCTGGCAGCCGCGGAAACAAGTCCCCGCGTGCGCCTGGACGGGGTGGTTAAACTCAGAGGGAGGGACACGCCTGGAGAACTAATAATTAGGCTTTTAGAGAAAATAGATGTTAATAGAGCGAGTCGTGGCCTAGCATTAGACATGGCCGCAACGCGTCTTTGAGGAGCTTCCAGCCCCAAGTGCTTGTGAACTGGCTTCCCTCCCCTCCGCTGAGACTGTTTTAGTTTATTCTCTTTCTTCACGCGGAGGCGGCTGGAAGGCCCAAGACATCCGGGACCAGGTGTCCGGGCAGCGGCTCGCGTCCCGCAGCAGGGCCCTGGGGTCGCCCCGGTCGCTTTCGCGGCGGAACCCTGCGGCTTATCCGCTGTCGAGGCGTGGGCCGGGGAGGTTCAACCCAGCCGCCCACGCCACGAACTGCAGGTTCTCCTGGACGCGGGCGGGCAGGGGCCCGCCGGGGCTCTCTGCGCCCCCGGGAAGGTCAGCAGCTGCAGGCAGCCGCCGATCGGCCCAGCGAGCGTTAGGCGGGATCGGAGAGCGCGGCATGGAGGCGACCCCACGCGCAGCGCCACTGCGAGGCGGGGTTGGAGCGGCCCCAGCACCTGAGCGACAGACAGCACGGGGACCTGTCTTTGCCCTACGCTTCCTTCCTCGACTTCCCTTCTCCTCTCGGGCGCTTCTGGTACCTTCCACCGCCCCTCTCTTGTCCGGTTTTCCTCCACATCCCTACATTTTCAGCCTCCTCTCCTGGGTCGAATTCCCTCTCTTCTCTCCTCTTTCTGCCCTCTTCTTTTCTTTTACCGTTGCTACTCTTGTTTCTCTTTTTATCCCCCTTCCCTTCTCATCTCCTTCTTTCCTTTCTGCGTATTCAGGTCTAGAGTTGCGCTCCTGTGCCCCTGCGGGAGGCTGCAGCCAGCTCCCCGCCCGGGACAGTGCGGAAGGCCCGCAGCCTGGCGGGCGGGAATCGCCCTCGGACCGGCCCGACTTTGGCCGGCAGCGTCCTCCAGCGCTCTCCCTCTCCTGGCTTCCACTGGCCACAGTTTGCCCAGACCCTCCAGGAAGACCAGTCCTTTGATTTGAAATTCGCGGTGTTTTAATAGCTAAAGAAGTAAAACATTCCTATTCAGCTCCTGGGAATTTTCCCTCTTATTTTTTCCTCGACAAGGGCAAGAAATCTCAAAGGAGGTCTGTGCCACGTGCAGGAGAGAGATTTCTGATTTCCAGATCTTGGAGTCTGGGGCTTTGCGCTCTGTCGCTAATACCCTAAGCTGAGCCTCAGTTTTCCCCGTTGTAAATAGTAATTATAAAATCTGCACAAGGCTGGGTTCTCATAATCCATGCCTTATAGAAGCTTGTTCTTTTCAATCAGAATGCACTTCGCTCCTCATCACCTCCCTCCTGTGCCTGAAAAACTAGCTGGAGATTCATCTGAAATGTCACCTTCTCTGTGGAGCGTTTCCCCACTCCCCAAGACTCCTGCTGTTCCCACATCTGTGCGGTGGCATTTCCTTCACTGTCTTTTGCGTGTTTATGTCACCCACTGGGCGATGAACTCCTGGTGGGCCAGCGCCTATGCGGTATCAATTCATCCCCTGTCACATCGCAGGTTCTCAGTAAACACGTCATAAACAAATTAATCCCTGAAAGCTGGGGAAGTTAGATAATATACGTTAGGTGGGACGTCAAATCCTAATTAGGTATGCTAAGTTTGTCTTTCTCTTTGAGTCTCTCCCTCTCTCTTTAATAATTTTGCAGGTGAGCAATGGTCCAGCCCAATTCCTCTCTGCTCCCCTGTCTCCTTTTTTCCGCTCCCTCTCTCCTGCTCTCAGACTGTTTGCGCTTCTGTTGGAGGAAGCACACCCCAGCTGTCAATCACAAACTGGGGCTTTGGTCAGAATCGTGGAGGGTTTTGTTTCCAACGCTAATGAAGTGGCTGGAACAGCAAACATCTGCCCATGAGACTCAAACCTTTTCCAGCTGCTGGAGACCCACAGACAAGTCCCAGCCTCCTTGACTAGACCCGGGCAGTGTCTGTTCCTGCACCCTAGGGGGTGGATGGAGGGGTGTACCCTGACCCACACTTAGAGGGGCATGAAAGGGGGTGAAAATCACACCTTCCAAGAGGCTACAGGGATCAGCTCCCCTACCCCCACCTGGCACCTAACTCCTGGGGCAGAGCCCAGCCAGAGAGAAGAGGGGGAGAAAATCTTTGCAAAGTTAGTGTTGGAGGTTCTGTCAACTAGAAACCAAAAATTCCTCTTCACCCGTTTCCCCTCACACCTAGTATCTCCACTCAGCTAGAACTCTTGACATTTAATTAAGCAAAATGGTATTTAAAAATACTGGCCTGACACTTGAATTGCATCTAGGACTTACCCCTAGATGGACTCAGCTTGACTTTTAGTTTAACTCTCCTTTTATAATCTTGGGCTGTACCTTGACAGAGATATTCGGAAGCAACCGGGATATAACGTCTTAAAAATACTCTAATTCATTTCCCAACCATCTTTTCTTCAAAGGGTACAGAGGGTGTCAAAAACATTTCTTACATTCTAGTAAGGCATATGTAATAACTTGTATTTCAGCCCCTAAGTTTCGAAATAGTTTCAGACATGTAAAAGCAACATAGGGAAAGCCTTGTAAGTTAATATTCCCATGGGCCGCAGGGCCGTGCCCGACTGCTGCCGATGGAGACCAGCAGAGCAGCCTCAAATAACAAGTCAGAGGAGGAGGACGTGGAAGGGAGCTTACTTTGCAAAACTCTCAGACACTGTAAAGCTTTTTTTAAAGGAGGACACAAACGCAATTCACTTGACAAAGGGGCTTGGAAAAGATTGAGTAGATCATTCAATCCCTCTCAAAGCATCTTCCCGGAGGAAAAGTTTAAACTGAGGAAAGATAAGACCGTGGCAATATCTACAGAACACCCAACATTCCCATGCAGAGTGAAAATGCAATAAATCACCGGGGGGTCCCAACTTTTAGAAGCTTGGTTATAGAGATTAAAAGTCGCTGACTATTTCCGTTTTTAATTGCACTATCCTCCCATCAAATAGTTATGTTTCTGAAAATACCCTGTGTGCCTCAATTATCTCGACTGATACAGCCAGGAATATAAAATTTAGTTTCTTCTAGGTTTGTTGTGGTATTGTAAAAAGAGATATAGAAGTTCGGGTCATCACTGATTTTGACCTCCCCCCACCCCCCTCATGAAAAGGCTGCAGTAACCGAGTGATACTTTCACATAGGTGATGCAACAGTGTCCTGGCTCTCTGGAGTTAAGAGGAAAAAACTTTGGAGCCAGGCAAACCTGGGTTCCATTCCCAGCATGGTCATTTAGTAATTTCTCTGTGTTCTGGCCCTCAACCATCACATGGGGGTGAGGACAGCCTACTCAGAGTTTGCCGGGGGATCTCTCACACCAATCCTACGCTGACTCATGAAATGCCTTTACTTTTTCAATAAGACGGGCAATCTGCTATCAAAAACCATCACAAAAGAAAACTGCAATTTTCGAGGGGTGCTTTTGTTTTGAGTTTTTTTTTTTTAATAGTGTGTCACTCTGTCAC